GATAATGTAAATATATGCATGAGAATGTAAACACATCTAAACACAGACACAAAGTCACACAGGTATGTGCATGTATTCTGCTTTCTCCACCAAAACGTCACAATGGGCAAAATGACAAAAAACATTTTAGAACTAAAGTAGAAGAACATTTAGATAACTAAGAAGCAGATAAGAAACTACCTAATGGTATAATTTGGTCCTTAAACCCATTGGCAACATTTCTAGACGTCTAATAATTACACACTTGAACCTTTCTCTAAAGTTCAGCTAGAAGTTAAAGCTCACCTCAGGGCTTTAAACTTGTGCATTGTCAAATCTGAACTTTTTCTGCAATGGCTAGAAGGAATACTGATTTACTGAACTCTAAAATCTCACATCTCAGCTACAATAATTTTACATAGATTTGTCTCACTAAGTACAAAGTGCATCTGTGTTTATTTCTATTTTATTTTTGCAACAAATAAAACTATAAAACAGTAAATCAATATTCTTTTCTTCACATTATGTTTATTGAAATAAAGTTGATTTATATCATTGTATCTGCTTTAGGGTCATAGGTTTAAATTACCAATGTGTGTTTTCACACCCTATCCACCACCAGTGTGCCAATAATTATCCACCATGTTCCATTAGGCCCCTTTGTCCCACATCCCATCCCAACCCCCTCCTGCTCCAGTTGCCTCAGTTTTGCAGTCAGATGTTAAGAGTTTATTATTGATTTGGTTTTGGCTGACCCTTTGCTATATTTCTCTATATTCCACATATAAGTGAGAACAAACAGGATTTGCCTTTCTCCTGCTGACTTATTTCACTTAGTATTATCCTCTCCAGTGCTATCCATGTTGTCACATACTCTGTTTGTTTTATTTCTAATTATACCTTGAGAGTTATTCTCACAAAGATTATACACCCACATCCACATGTGCACACACACACATACAGAGAGAGAGAGAGAGAAAGAGAGAAAGAGAGAGAGAAGGTAATTTCCAACCACTTTCAATTTAATAGTTAATTCAAGAAGTCTCTCTGAAGATAGATTGCCACTGTTTTGATTAATATTTCTTGACATAACGACTTTTCATTTAGCTACAAAACCATATTCTAATTAAATTCTTTCCAAGAAGTTATGCAAATTATTGGCAGACAATGCTCCCAGTGTATAGCTCTTTTTCCATTGCAAGATTTCAGGAGTTTTATGTAAAATTAATTTACTAGCTACAATATACTTTGTATGTGTGGGGTTTATAGTATGATTTGTTTGGTGATAATCACCTTTCTTTAAAAGAAAATCCAAAAGATGGAGATTTAGTTTCATTCTTTCTCTGACTCATGTTCACTTAATTTGAAAGACTGAATTGAACTTTTAGAAATGCTTACTTTTACAGAATATTTTCATTGAATACTTTGTATCAAATGGCAAATTTCAAATAGATACAGACATTCCTTTCCTTCTATGTCACATGTTTCTGATGTCAGCAAGCAGCACAAATTCTTGTTTTCCTTATTCCACTTTATATCATGTATCTATAACACTTTTTCTTTGAATCCAGTCATGCTATTCTTCCATTTTGGTTTCCACCCACTGTCCTATTCTATTTCATTTCTGGTCCAAACTAAACTAGAATACAATAAATAATTAATCGAGCTACTTTTTTTTTTTTAAATATTAAATTTTATTTTTATATTTCCCCATACAATTGCAAACGCCCCATTCTGACCCCAATCCTTCCCCTCCCGCTCCCCACCCCCCAAAAAGTGTCTCTGGTTCATAGTTTTTTGTTGATTTTGATTTTCACTTTCTTATATTCATTTTCCTGGTCCCTTATTTAAGTTTTCTAGATTCCTGCTATGAGTGAGACCATCCGGTATTTTTCTTTTTCTTTTTGGCTTATTTCGCTGAGCATGATCCCTTCCAGTGCCATCCATGTTGCTGCAAATTGCATGTGTTTATCTTTTTTGAATGCTGAGTAATATTCCATGGTATATATGTACCACATATTCTTGATCCAGTCATCTATTTTTGGGCATTTGGGTTGTTTCCAAAGCTTAGCTATTGTAAACAGTGCTGCTATAAACATAGGAGTGCAGGTGCTCTTTGGAATTGATGTTTCTGTGTCCTTTGGGTAAATACCTAGGAGTGGAATTGCTGGATCATATGGAAGCTCTATGTTTAGTAGGTCCAGAAATCTCCACACAGCTCTCCATAGTGGTTGGACCAGTTTGCACTCCCACCAACAGTGCACAAGAGTTCCTTTTTCTCCACATCCTCGCCAACATTTGTTGTTGCTAGTTTTTTTAATATGTGCCATTCTCACTGGTGTGAGATGGTATCTCGTGGTAGTTTTGATTTGCATTTCCCTGATTACAAGTGATGTTGAACATTTTTTCATATGTCTGTTGGCCATTTGCATTTCCTCTTCAGAGAAGTTTCTTTTTAGCTCTTCTGCCCATTTTTTGACTGGATTATTTTCTTTGTTGTTGCTGAGTCTCATCAGCTCTTTGCAGATTTTTGTGATCAGTCCTTTATCATTAGTGCTGTGTGCAAAAATGTTCTCCCAGTTGGTGGGGTTTCTCTTTGTTTTTGTTATTGTCTCTTTTGCTGTGCAGAAGCTCTTTAATTTGATGTAGTCCCAGCTGTTTATCTTTGCCTTCACTATCACTGCTTTGGGTGATGTGTCTGTAAAGATGTCTTTGATGTGCAAATCCCGTAGTGTTTCGCCTATATGTCCTTCTATGTATTTTATGGTTTCAGGTCTTATGTCTAGTTCTTTAATCCATTTTGAGTTGATTTTTGTGTATGGTGTGAGGTAGTGGTCAAGCTTCATTCTTTTGCATGTAGCGACCCAGTTTTCCCAGCACCATTTATTGAACAAACTTTCTTTGCTCCAATGCATAGTCTTTGCTCCTTTGTCAAAGATTAGTTGACCATAAATCTGTGGGTTTATTTCTGGATTTTCTATTCGATTCCATTGGTCTGTATGTGTGTTCTTGTTCCAATACCATGCAGTTTTGATGAATATGGCTTTGTAGTATAGTTTGAAGTCTGGGAGTGTGATGCCTCCATTTCCTTCTTTTTTTTTTCAGTAGAGCTTTGGCTATTCGGGGTTTTTGGTGATTCCATATGAATTTCATCAATAATTGTTCTATTTCTTTGAAGAATGACATTGAGATTTTGATTGGAATAGCATTGAATCTGTATATTGCTTTTGGTAGGATGGCCATTTTAATAATGTTTATTCTTCCAATCCATGAGCAGGGGATGTCTTTCCATTTCTTTGTGTCTTCTTCTATTTCTTTTAACAGTGTTTTATAGTTTTCTTTGTATAGGTCCTTTACCTTTTTTGTTAGATTTATTCCCAAATATTTGATTTTTTTTTGTTTCGATAATAAAAGGGGTGGTTTTTTTGATTTCTTCTTCTTCAGATTTATTGTTTGTGTATAGGAAGGCTACTGACTTTTGCGTGTTGATTTTGTATCCTGCCACTTTACTGAACTGATTGATGAGTTGAATTAGTTTTTCTGTGGAGTTTTTGGGGTTCTCTATGTATATTATCATATCATCTGCAAATAGTGATAGTTTGACTTCTTCTTTTCCTATTTGGATTCCTTGGATGTCTTTCTCTTGTCTTATTGCTCTGGCTAGGACTTCCAGTATTATATTGAAAAGCAGTGGTGAGAGTGGACATCCTTGTCTTGTTCCAGATCTTAATGGAATTGCTTTCAGTCGAGCTACTTTTTATGAACTCTTAAATTTTAAAAATAGGGGCCTCCCTGGTGGCGCAAGGGGTTAAGCACCACACTATGAAGCAGTCTGCAGCCTCTGCAGAATGAGTTTGATCCCTGGCCACCCGAGAGCAACCCACATGGTGCAGCAGACCTCTCCTGTCTCTCCTGCTGCTCCCCTCAGCAGTGTGTTTCAGTCAGTCCACCTGTTCTGTTCCCCCTTCTGTCTCTGGTGAATCCTCTCACCCCCCACATCTCTGGCCTGTACCCCAGCTCTTGTATTAATAAATAATTTTTTTAAGTTTTTTTTTTAAATAATTAGAACAAAGCTCTTCATAAACACATGTTGAATGAACTTGTCCACATTTGCCATGGCAAGATATTTCCCCACAAATTTTCTTAATATTGAAATATATTGTCAATTATGATAATCAAGTTGAATTAGCCTGGAGAAACTTCCCAATCTCTTTGTGACTCTGCTTCTTCACTCTAATATTGTGATGAAAGTAATATTTTTTTCATAGAAATCGTTTGAAGATTTAATGAGATACATAGGCAAAGCTAGGATCAATGTTTGGCAGATACCATTAATGTTAACCATTGCAACAACAAAAACAATAAAGAACTTTCTCTAACATTGTCACTTAGAATTAATTCTTTGGGAAACTAAGAGACAGCAACAACCACGTAAAATGAATAAAACAAAGTTCAACAAATGAGAATGAAAAGGCAAACATAAGGAATAATATTAACATTTGGATTGTTTCAAGAGAAACCAAAGTAAAAATATGGGGTTAAAGGTTGGATCTGAATTTGATGTGATGTAGAGTTTAATAATATGACAAGAGAGTGGAAAAGTCATAGGACTGGGAAGAATTGCTATTTCACCAGGAACACAGGAAAGAGAACCAGAATGAGAAAACCAAGCCAAAAATCAAGACTGTGTTAACTTTAACAAAACCAAAATCCCTCTCATCAAAAATTACCAGTTGTCTCCTTTAGACAGACTAATTGGACACTTAACAAGATTGACTCAAAGAGAAACAATATAGCACATCATATTTCTCTTATCTGATAACATATCTTGCTCTTTTTCCCAAATATTTAAAGATGATTTCAATTTTTAGATACTATATTTTATATTTACTTTTCTTATGGTTCTTCTTCATATTTACTAATTTACCAAATATGTTCAAATACCGATCTCAGATTTTTTCAACCGATTCCATTATATTAAGATATTAATAATGGCTATGTACTTTTTACACTCACCGTGTACCAGTTGTTATGCCAAGTCTGTTCTAATCCATGTAATTCTCACTGTAGTCCAATGGAATACTAATGAGAGAGGTAAAGATCTTTATCTCTAGGACAATTTGGTCCTAGAGCTCCTGTTCTTGATCAGACTGCTGCTGAAAGGAAACAGAAATACTGTGATGAACAGAGAGAAATCATTAGAATATTATTGTGCAATAGCTTACAAACTGACTCAAGTAATCCATAAATAGCTTATTTTATTCTTTGCTATCCCTCACATATGTTTTTATATTTTACATAGGCAATCAAGTGATGAACCAAAAAGTGTTAATTTGTCTGGGTATTTTGTATAAGAAATGGTCTCTGGCCCTCTCATTCTACCACTTCTTCCCATGGCAATTCACTCATATATCTAAAACCTTCCCTCTTGGGATAGACATGACTGAAAAGGGATTTAAAGTCAAGGTTTCTGGATGGACCAGAGGTTAAATGTATGGAATGAGCTAGGTTTGTTCTTACCTTAGTTAGAGCAGGAAGGGCTTTGCTGCATCTTATTCAAAGGGTCAATATAACCTTATACAACAGCACCAAGTCTGGGGTGAAGACACACAACTGTAATAATGTTCTCTCTCTTGTAATTCTTCACAGTCACTTTCTTTCGCAATGCTAATGCATCACAAGGGAACTTTCCCCCAATTGGTCACTTTCCTCCTGAGACTAGTGAAAGAAATAATGAAATAATAAATATTAAATCAATTCCTTTATCTTACTTAGGGAACAAAGCCAAATAAATCAAAACAATCCTTTGTGTCCATGAGATCAATGCAGTCTAAAATTTAAACAAAAACATAGAGTGCAATTTTTCTTATCAAAGAGAGGTAACCATTATATTCTATCACAGAATAACCAAATTCAGTTTGATACTTATTTATCCCATTGCATCTGAACACTAAGGTTAAATAATGGCAACAAGATTTTAAGGTATTTTGTTAAAACTTATTTTCATCCTCAGCACATCATTTAAAGCATTGCCTGTAAATATGGAACACTATTCATTGTTTTGATGGTTTACAATTGTTGGTTCCTCTCAAGTCTTTCACTTTATGTTCTAAAATACATAGAAATTAGTAGTTTTCTATGGGGAACTTATGCAAGAAGATTAATACATAACAGGACAGTCAGTGGCACAATAAATTATGCCCATTAATGTTTATTATTTATATTAAAAATGTTTCCTTTTTTAAAATCCAGTAACAAAATTAGGAAATCACAAAAGTGGATGACATATAAATAACAAAAGAGATTGTGAATGAGAAATAGATGTATACATCCCCAAATGCTGAAAAAACTAAATTCTGCGTGATTGTATTTAAAAAAAATTATTTGTGATATTTTAGTTTATAAATCCATCATATTTTTTCAATAACTATAAAAGTAGTTTCACAGCTTATGGGGAATAACTCAGAACGAAATGATGTAATTATAGGCACCCCTACAGGTACTCCTGTGCTGAGTTCGAAGAAGCAAGATGAAATTAATCTTTGATGAACAGGCAGTCAGAATAGAGACATTAAAGTGACAGTATTTTGTTTGTTTTCATCAATGGCTCAAAATATGTGTCCATTCTTGATTATACACAAAATGCTTTCATAATATTTTTTTTACTCAGAATTAATACATTTTTGTGTAGAAACTTCTGACAAGTATATTTAGCAATTACTGCCCTTCAGAACTGCACATTAACCTAATATGCATTTTTGGATAATTACTATATTATCATAAGAACATATGATAATATGTTCAAAAGAACATATTTCTACTTCATATGTAAATAAATATATGATTGATTTTAAAAATACAAGAAAAATACAAGAAATACAATTTAGCTAAATTATGGATATATAGAATATATAAAGACAAAAGGGAAAAATGTAGTTCTGAAATCTATTTTCAGTTGGATGTTGAAGTAGTTTTTTTTTTTCTGAATTGATACTGTCTTCAATAAGATAGGATGGTTTGCAAGTGAAAATTTCTTTCGATTAATTGAACAAACTCCCAGTGTCCTGAGAATTTTAATCTAGTAAATAATTCTGTTAGCTGAAGTTTATATCAATCCTAAAATGTAGGGCTTTAAATTCTTTAAGTAACTCAATTGCTGTTTACTTTCCTGAAATCTCTTTCCTCAAATGAGCACCTATGAAAATGTTAAGGTCACCAAAATCAGCGTTCTGTTAAATTTAAAACCCCCGATTCACCTATTTAATGTGTAAAAAATAATTTGTGAATTTCATCTTAGACTGTGTGAATGAGGAGAAAGCACATGACACAAATTCTTATTTAGTGTCATTTCTTTATGGAAGTTTTTTTTTTTTTTTAATCACCTACAGCTTTTGCCTCACTTATTAATGAGGATATCTTTATCAATGCATTTCTCATAAAGTAGAACAGCCACATAACTCATTTTTTTTTACTCCGTCAAGCACAAAGCTCTTTATTTTTTTTTATTTTTTTAAATTTTTTACATCATTGTTCATTCTTTTTTTTTTTTAATCGGAAATAATAGCTGTGAGCAGCTTTAATGTTAGAGATTTGGGTTTTTTTTATATATATATATAATAAATTTTATTTTTATATTCCCCATACAATTGCAACCCCCTTGTTTTGACCCCAATCTCTCCCCTCCAGCCCCCTACCCCTCAAAGAGTGTCCCTGGTTCATAGTTGTTTGTTGATTTTGATTTTTTCTTTATTATAATTAGACTTTTTCCTGGTCCCTTATTTAGGTTTTCTAAATTCCTGCTATGAGTGAGACCATCCGGTATTTTTCTTTTTCTTTCTGGCTTATTTCTCTGAGCATGATCCCTTCCAGCGCCATCCATGTTGCTGCAAATTGCATGTTTATCTTTTTTGAATTTTAAGATGAGTGAAACTAGATGTCCATTATTATCCATATTTTCTTTGAGGGTTTTCAACATAAATGAATATCAGCTCATCAAATGTTTTATAGACAACATGGATGGAACTTTGAAAGGATAAACTTGGTGATTTATATCAGAAGGAGAAAGAAAAATGAATGGTGTCACTAATATGTGGACTATAAAGTAATTGTTAATAGTCAGATAAAGATAAGCTGAAAAACTAACCCTTGATAGCAGACTACAGAAGTGAGACACCAAGAGAAGAAGGGTGGGGAGATGAGGGGGGAGGGGAAGCATAATGGTCTGTGGTGGTGGAATGTGGGTGTGTTGGTGGTAGATGCACTATGGTAATACCTGATAGGGACACCCCATTGTAACCGTAGTTAAAAATAAAAAAAAAAAAGTCTTGCAACTTTCTCTTTTACCTTCTTAGGAAGCCTCAGTCACCACAAAAAGAAACCTAAACTGTCAATAGTGGGAGGCTAGATGGAAGTAATGCCCCACCCGAAGAATGGATGGATGAATGGATGGATGTAGAATTACAAGGGTGGGGAGAGGGGCATGGCATTCTGAAGAACAATATATTTTGTGTACATAGGTCTCAGCATTCCAATCATTTGAGCTGTACTGTCAGATAAGGCCATGATAATCCCTCAGCCTCAATAGGGAGCAGAGAAAATCTATACTGTTTTAGACTTCCCAGAATTCCTGATCACAGGAGAAAATAGAATGGTTTAAGTCACTGCATTTTGGAGTGGATTGCTATTTACTAATAAATAACTGAGTCTAATGACATCCATGAGGTAAGCAATCCCAAGACAAGAGATAGCACCTGACTATAAATATTAGGTAGTAGTTAGTGATAAAATGAGGTGCTTAGTGAAAAATTCATACACAATTAGCTTTAATAATTTTATAAGCTCTATACTGTTGTAAAAGTCAATGGAACAGAAGAAAGTCAGGTGAATAATAGAGCAGTAAATATTTTACAAATAGAGTGAAAATGGAGCTGAATTTTATATAATATTTCATTCATTCATCAAATATCTATTCATATTTCAATTTATTATTTATATTTAAATGGGTGCACCTCCAGTGTATTATGATAATTATATAATAGTGAGAAATTTCATGGTTGTTCACAGAACTGAAATTTTAAAGACTAGAATGAAGAATCCTGTTAAGATTTGGTGGAATATGACCTTGCATAATTAGGTAGGGAATAGAAAAGAGAAAAACAGAAATATTTACAACTATTTGCTGATAGTTAGAATGGCATGCTAACTTATGTCTCAAGAGGAGAGAGTCTATACTGCTAAGTCATAGACAGTGTTGTAAGCCAATGCTACCTAGATAAAAAATGATACAACTTAAATATTTTATACTTCAAAAATAATATTTCAAAAGCTTTTTTCTTTTGTAAAATGGAGAAATACTTCAGAATATTAGTCACAGAATAAATCATTTGAAATATAATGAAAAAATTAATAGAATGGGTTCTTCTGAGAAAGAGTTAATAGTTTGTGGTGATTGGTTGAATCTACTAAGGTAAAAACATATATGGAAAACATATAATGTTTCCTAAGTCACAGTTTCTATATCATTTAAAATTACTCATAAAAAATCCAAATATTATATTTTAATAAATGCATAAATCAGCTTAGTTTTAACTTTTCTAATGAAAGGACTACTAATTTGAATATCTTAGAGGTGTGTCATCCCAATTAAATTATTTATCAATAATTATAAGAAAAATTTCAATTGACATATATGTCAACTTGAGTTCTTAACATGTTTGGGGGCAAGGGAAACTAGAAAATAATTTTTATCAATGTTTATGCTTATTGTTTTATTTTACTATTAAATCATCATTTTAGTTAAGATATGTGGAATATGAAAAAGAATCATTTATCATTTCCTTAAACAAAATATGTTTCAGGTTAGATATAAGAGAATTATGACTTCACTTTTCCTTTTCACAAGCTAATCTCTAAACAATGAATCATTCACAAAGGTGCTACTCTCCCAAAATTACACATTTGCAGTAGTTTTTGACATATAATAAATGAAGTTTGTGTTGGGAAGAGTGGCATATTGAAATCATTGAAATTGAGCTTTTACTCAATGCAAGTTTAACTATGAAGAAAATGCTAGTTGCTGGTTAGGAAAAAAGAAACTATCCATCATTTTGCAAATTTTATCAGCTCACAGTTTTATCAAACCAAACCAATTTCCCTTGCATAATATAAAACTTTAAACATAACATAAAGTTCTAAAAGCTTTAAAGTAGATTATCATCTTGACTTTAGCATATACAAGGCCCAAGTCATAGACTTCTCTACAATGAAGAGTGTGGAACTAGAGGGACTATATTATTTTCAGGGTAAAACTTCTATTCCATATATGTCTCTTGTAATCCCTTTTAAATATTTATATTTAGACAATTTTATTATACAAGCATGATTTTTAATATTTTTACTATTTGTACTCACACAATCACATTTCACTAGCTTCTTTTTTCAGCTTTACCGAGATATAATTGACATAGCATTCTGCTAGTTTAGTTGGACAAGGTGTTGTCTTGACACATGAATATGGCCAAATGATTACCCCTCCCTTTAGCTAACCCATACATCTCATCACCTTATCACAACAACAGGGATTTTTGGTAGTTGCTGTTGTTGGTTTATTTTTGTTTTTTAAATATATTTTCAGATAATCCACATTCCAAAAAAATGTGCTACAGTTCTTTTAACAAGCTAGAAGCTGTGCTTTGCTCAAAATAAGGAATGCAACCAAA